TTTACTATTTTGTCCCAAGTAGAGGTCTTCTCTTTATCAAGAGAAAAGAACCAATGTTGACAAACAGTTTCAAGATATAGCGATAACAAAGAATGAAAAACCTTCCTATCAATCCCCTTAATGTTCATTATGGTTTCAAAAGCCCTTAAGTGAAAATAAGGATTGTCCGTTGGCTTGAACTTAGGGGTGTTGTTGGCATTGAACTTCTGCAGAAGAAGTTCCTTGTCTATTGAGACCCCTTGTGAGCTAATGCCCTAGAATCTATAGTCATTAGAGGGTTTTCTTAGGCTTTCTTGCATGAGCTCCATTTGTTGTTGCTTCACAGGGTCATTGATTTGAAGGGTCATATCCTTATCAATTTAGTTATGTTAGCCACGTCTTTCCTAAGTAGTACTTGAACAAAGGTGTTGTCCTTGATTAATCTCCCTTCTCTCCTTGACCAAAGTGTTGTGGGAAGGGAAGTTAGGGATAAATTTTTATTTTTGACTCAAGCTCTTTTCAACATGTAATAGATGGGAAGAGAACATAGAAGGAAAAGAAGAATGATATGGGTGAAAGAGAAATATGGGATAATTAGAAATAGAATAGGCCCCAAACTCAAATGACGAAAATAACGACTCATGCATGAACCTAAGTCATGGTCATGATTACAAATACACAAAGTGTGTGCTAAGACTAGTGAGTGTAGGTAACATGTTTGAATCGTGTCATGACCATGGGACTAGACTATGTGACTAGACTTAATTAAGGACTAAACATGATTATTGTCATTAATAAATCGGTTAAACTGATTAATTAGACTCGTCGTGAAGATTCAAGCAAAAACATGGACTGTCGCTGGAGCAACAGGACTTTCGCCAAATGCTAAGGACCAGCGCTCGACGACAACATCGTCTCCTGGCGCTAATCACTAACGCGTGGCGCTACAACCCAAACTTTTGCGCCATTGCCGGAACATTGGTCTGGGACTATTTCCAGTATTTTACTCTAAAGGGACAAGCCTAAAGTCGTACTAAGTCAAGTTTGATCAATTTATTTAGACTTTAATCATTTATTAATTAATTAATTAATTTAGCAAAGTCTTTTAGTCATTAATTAGTTTATTTAGACTCATTTACAAGTCAAACAAACGGTTAGTGGAAACACATATAGGTTATGCACAAGCAAATAATGCACAAGTAGTCAAATAGTCACAATATGATGCAATGAGTTTGCAACCTAACCATGGCTCTACTTCTCTAAAGTTCAAGATATGGGTTAGTCAAAGAGGGTCCATGGTTATGAGTCTAGATGCACCGCGCAAAAGCCTTAACTTTGGAAGGGTTGGCGCGAGTGGATGGGACCCCGCGAGTTAAACTCTCTTCCACGGTTTGGTGAATTCAACAAACTCGAATGTACCCTTTGTTGCCAGGAGCGTTCGATTAGGTAAATGAAGTGTGAATTTCCAGAGGGTTATGGCCATATGTAGAACATATATGGGTTTCTGAAAAAAGGAAAAAACTCAATTAGGAAGTAAAACCGAGCAAACAGTACTAGAAACTAGTCCAATCAAGAAGGTAGATTCTAGCTCGGTATTGGAAGAATTCGGCGCGAGACAACAGTCGCCATTCGACAGAGCCATCACGCTGTTTTCTCAGTGCTAATTCCTACATTCCTCCACAGCTTTTTGTTCTTGAATTTTCCAGTTTTTCGCAGCGTTATTTCGATTTTAGTTGTGAAAGATATTTCCCTAATTTTCTTCGTGTAAAAATCCTTTGTTTTTGACGCATTACGGATAGTCTTTCCAATGTGGGCCTTTTTATGCATATGCCAATAATGTTAATCAAAATTACGCACATGAATTACTTGGAACTTTTCGAGTCTGATCCACTCATTCTAAATTATTGCCAAAATAAATTTTAGGAATTAAAATAGAAATCCTCTTTAGCGGAGTCGCCAAAAAACTGTAGGGAATATTTCAAGCATCCAACACTTGAGCCCCACTGTGATCATACACTTAAGTATGATGGCGTCCAAAGGGAAGGATGCTAGAGCAAAAGAGTCGCCAACAAGTTTTAGGAACTTGTAAACCGTTCACAGGGTGAAGGTTACACCCCTTCACGATCCATGAGATCGCTAACTCCATAGTGGTCTGGAATCATGACTGGATATTCGGGGATGAAGGTACAAATCCAACCTAAAAGAGATTGAACTTGCCCTAAAAATAGGCATCTACTTTATTCTTCTCGTATTCATGTGCGCTTTCTGACTAACGTACAATCATTAGGTTAACCCTAAACCTGTTTAATCTATGTTGGTTGAATATTAATGCACAAACAAATATATTATTGGCGATCACTTGAATTATAATCGTATTAGCCTAAACAAGATTATTAATTATCTTATTAAGCGTGATTACAAGTACAAATTCCTTTTAAACATGTATAAAAGGCGTGATCAAGCAATAACAATAAATAATGTATATCAAGCAACATAGTAACAATCATCATCATAATAATAATCTCAATAAAGCATAATAATATATTAGCAAGATCCTAGGCATGATACTAACAAGATTAATAACAAACCCTATCATGTCACTAAACCATAAATATCAAAGTTTTAACCATAACATAATACTAACATGATATTAGAAAGTATAGGAAGCACCCTAAACATGATACAGGAATCAATAAAAAACATCCTAACATGATACTAAGAATTAAAATAATCTAAACATGATTTCTATATCAAAAGAATTAAAGCAACTACTTGCTTGGATATTTTGATCATTTTATTAGAAAATACACGCGTTAGTAACTTCAAGGAAAATAATAAATCAAACAATCAAATTAAATAATTGAAATAGAGATTTGGGACCAAACCCTCAAAATTTATAAACCTTTCACGTCTAGGGCGAAGGCAACTTCGAACTTGGTTAGGTGTGTCTAGAACTAATGTATGTGGAATTTTTTTAGAGGGATGGTTTAGAAAAAGAATAAAGAGAGAGAGAATAAAGCTTCTAGCTTTTAAAGAGAGAATAGAGAGATATGATGATCGTGAATGATGATTGAATAAAAACGAAGAGATACGACCCCTATTTATAGAAAAATAGTCCGAAAACGATAGAAAATACTTCAAGTTCTATACGGAATAAAACTGGCATCCGTCGCCAGGCGATAAAATTAGCGCCAGGAAACAAACATTAGCACCAGGTGACAAACTCTGTCGTTTGGTGCTAATTAAAAGATAAAAACGCGCTTTGTACGGAATCCTCTTCTTAATATGATTAAGCAGCAAATTCCGTGTTTATCAAATAAAATCAGGTTTTGTGATAAAACACTTATTTTATTCCAAATAAAACTTTTAAAATATAATTATCAATCCTAATCTCATTAGAATTTAAAAGAATATTCTAGATTATTCTAGAACATTAAAATAAATCCTAATAACTTTAGGAATAATAATTAATAGGCCCTCCTCTAGATCATTGGGCCAGATAATTCATTTTGAGCCCAAATTTAATTTAAGCCATAACTTCCTCGTTATTCATCGGAATTGAGCTTATAATATATTGTTGGAAAGCTCTTTTCGAGCCTAATCCAACTACACTATTATTTTGGACCAATTAAATAGGGCTGGCTATTTTCATAAATAGAGTCTAAGAAGAAATATTTTCAAAAACAGAAAGAGTGATATTTTTAATAAAAACAACCACATCAGTAGACTTTTCACACTTTCACTTTGTTCGATGATCAAATGACGTGAAAGATATTCATCACTGGGTTTGTTTTGGGGAGACACATTTAGGTGTTTACAACCACCCACAAATCACCGAAACCACCCACTAACCACCAATATCCACCTTTGAACCACGAAAACAACCCAAAACCCACCAAATCTGAAACCCAAAAACCACAACCACTCACGAAATAACCATCAGAAAACAACAACAACCACGAAATAGCTACCCATGAACCACCAACACCTACAAAGTAACCATCCACGAACCACCAACACCCATAGAAAAATTCAAGATCTACTGAGCCCGCTTACAAGCCACACCCACAAACCACCAACAACCACCCACAACCAAACCAAATGAGAGATGAGGAAGATAATTTAAAGTAAAAATGATGGATGAGAAATGAAGAAGGAGATGATAGATGAAGAAGGAAGAAGATGATGGAGGAAAGAGATGAAAATGGAGGAGAGTGATGGTGGGGAGATGGATGAATCTGATATTTTTTGGGAAAAAGTTTAGATAATTACATTAGATTAGAGTTATAATTATTTGCAATTATGTGTAATATCATGGGTTAATAATTTTTAAATGAGGGTATTTTGATCATTTTATTAGAAAAAAGTTACTACATTAGGAAATAAATAATTTTATTGCATATAATAGGTAGCACCCTTTTTGAGTATATGTTGCAAGTAACTGTTAACGGAGGTAGTATTTGTTATTTTTCTAGGGAATGAAATTAGTAGTTTAATTATAAACCGTGCATCGCACGAGAACTATGCTAGTAAATACTTCCTCCGCTTCTTTTTAGTAGACACGTTTCTTTAGTTACGTTTTCCAATACACTTATTCAATCATTAATATATTTAATTACTGATAAACAGAAATTATGAAAAGTTGATATTTTGAAAGTATATAACGCGACGAATCTAACAAGATCCCACATGACTATTTTTATTATTATTAAGTATAAAGCACAAAACACGGTCAAATGGAGGTATATGAATAGTACTTAAATCAAAACGTGTCAACTTAAAAAAAAACGGAGGTACTATGTAGTACTTCCTTCTTCTATTAATATTGCAATAAGGATGAAATTACGCATTTCAAAGCACATTTTATATGCTAAATATCTATAATTGTGTAAGAGTAAATATTATAAAAAGTTGATATCGTGAAAGTATTTTATAAGACGAATCTAACAAGATGTGACTATATTTTACTTCCTGTATAAATAATATTATACGGTCAAACAAGAGTGATGTATCCACTTCAAAAAGTTGCAAAATTAATAAACGGAGGGAGTACTTAATTGGTGCCCTGGTCTACTGGCATACTCGCCACTTTCTTATTTCCCGCCATTCACCTCTGCTATTTCTCTCTCTCCTTTCGTTCACGCCGTTCATCTTCTTCTTGTTCATCGCTTCACGATGTTGTGGGTGGATAAATACCGACCCAAAAACCTAGACAAGGTTTTAATTCACGAACAAACTGCCCAAAATCTCAAAAAATTGGTATTTTTTGCTTCTGCAATTCCAATTTCTTTATTTTTGTTGTATAATTTAGCCTATTAATTGCTATTAAATCTCTTAAATTTGTTATTTTGTCGTTTTAATTTGCTAATTTGTCAGGTAACTGAGCAAGATTGTCCACATTTGCTGTTTTATGGACCTCCTGGTTCTGGCAAGAAAACCCTAATCATGGCCCTTCTTAGGGAGATGTTTGGACCTAGTGCTGAAAAGGTATTTTTATGGTGCATCTATTTATAACAATTTCATAGTAGTTAATTTATTTTTATCTGTGTAACTTGCACTCGGCTAGAATTGTCAAAGTATGTGTTTAAGTATTTTTGTGAATTTTTTTTCTTTTGTATGGTTATGCTTTTTGATATTTGGAGTTAATGAAATTGCTAGCTTACTACTGTAGATTTTGGGTTTAATTTGAGGAATTTCTTGTGTTATTTTTCCAGGTTAGGGTGGAGAACAAGGGATGGAAAGTTGATGTAAGTTTCTCTAAGTTTCACTTATTTTTTACTTAAAAGTAAGTGATGTATGCGTTGTTAGTTTTGTGATACTATTGCTTTAGTATGACAAGTACTATTGCTAATGTATAGAGAGTGAGGGATAGCTCAAGTAGTTAGAGCTCCCCTTCCGGATCAAGGTGATCCTAGGATCGATTCTCATTCCCGGCCCTTGTGGCTCTCTAAACGCCCGCCCCCCCCCCCCCCCCCCCCCCCCCCCCACAAAAAAAAAGCTATTGCTAAAGTACATGTAAATAATTATTTAAGAAAAATACCGACTACTATCATTGAGTCGTATCATTATAGCCATTTTTTTTCTAAGTTTAGTTCAATGGTTGACATATTGCTGATCTATGTATAGTCTTTGGCCATAATTACGGAGTATATGGTTTTAGTTTGATAATTTGAATAGGATGGACAGACATTGTCATGAAAGGATAGGGAAGAGAATTAGGGACCAAATTATTTTGCCCATCCCAATTTTGGTTTTCCTTTTTTTTGTAAGGGAATAACACATGGATATTTTAGTTTATTGAATTTTCGGATTATATTAGTGGGTAGTGTAGGAGGCATTGGCTGATTAGGCTCATATAGCAGACTTTCATTTGAATTAGTAGTTCATAGTTGTGGGGTGTCATGTTCATGAAATCAAGGTTTTTGTGTTAAGGGTTTTGATCTCATCGCTCCGCAGAAAGTTATTTCTTAGCATTGTCTGTATAATCATAGTGTGAAAGTTGTTATAGACTTTTTTGTCACTGCTTCATCTGTTCATTGTTGTTAAATCCATCAACTATAGTACTATTCAGAGCTTCAAGCATGTATTATAGTTATAGCCATCTTTCTTAACCCTAGGTCTGCTCACACAATAACTAGAGTAGGTCTAACCGTCTAATTAAGTATGTTTTATGTGTCTTGAATTATGGCAAATTGGCAATTAGACCAATGTGATTTGGGTTGAAATGTTGGGCATATAGAAAGAATCATGTTCGAATATTCGATAGATTGGAGTGGTATAGATGTGGATAGTGAAATGAATCTGTGGGAACTCCTCTAGGGATATATAACTATGAATGAAGACATTTAGAGAGAAGCTGGGAGTTGCGCACATCAAGATTAAATAAGGGACAATTGATTTTCTTGGTTTGGGCTTGTAAGATGGAGATAAAAAAATGCACCAGAAAGGAAATTAGAAAGTAGGGTGCACAAGGATCTTGGAAGCAGTAAAGAAGTTAGAAAGTATTGTTATACGCACTAGAAAGGAAATAAGAAAGTAGTGAAGAAGTTAGAAAGTAGTGTTTTATGCACCTAAGATGGTGCGCATATAAAGTAGTGTTATATGCATCATAATGGAAATTAGAAAGTAGTGTTATATACTCCTATAAGCCAAATCTCTTCACTTGAATGGAGGAGTTTGGAATCATGTGAAAACATTTGGCTTATTGGAGCATATAACACTTTATAAAAGGGAATGGAGGGGAAGGATCTTAATTGATGACTAATTTGGTGCATTTAGCTGATCAAATTATTGGGATTAAAGCTTTGATATTATGTTTCATGGCTCATTCTTATAGTAAACATTGTAGTACCTGAATGAATAATGTGTATGTTATTGATTTCAATGTATTGTAATTTGCATTTTAAAACGACTGGAATTTAGCTCTTACCTTTTGAAGGAACGGATAGTTTTACTTCTCTTGGTATGTGTTCAGCCAACTTAACATCGCCTGGGAAAGCCTCATGGCTTGATGATTGGCGCTCTTTTTTATTAATAAGTAAATAGGAATGAGGCATCCTAGCCAGGCTTGGGAAGTTGGGATCCTCTGCGCAGGATGCCGTCCCCCCTTGGCAAAGAATTTTGGCATGTGAGATCTGTGGGGAGTGGGAGTAGACTGATTACATTATATTTTATTTTCCTTACATCATAAATTCATTGCCATTATTAGCCAATTCTGTGCAATAAGAGTTTTACTTCTATTTTCCTTTGGGACATGTCTTAAGTTACTTGCCTATTTCCTTTTTGAAAGTCTTTTTTTCTACTTTTTCTCTTTGAGTTGGGTCACACACTTTACCACCCATATTTCTTTTTACCTTTTCTCTTAAAATTGGCATGTAGATAGAGATGGGTAGATGGATGGGCTAATCCATATGGATTTTATTTTATTTTATTTTATTTTTTTATTTTTTGGTGTATAATTTCGAAAGATTCTAAAATTATGAGAGTTAATCTATGATTTAGGAGATTTTGACCTTTATAAACCAATTTGAGAAGTAGGACTTTGTTTGCTGGCAGAACCATTGCTTTTAAAGTTAAATTAACTGTCATATCTTTGAGGAGTAGCAGGTCTCTAAATAAGCTTTCGCCTTTGTACTAGTTATTTTGATTAATAAGTTGGTCTTGCAATGTACTTTCTGTTTTAATTTCATAATTAAGGAAACATCAAATTTTTGATTAATTACTATCCACAGGCTAGTTGATTCTCTCCAATTTTGCTTTTAATAGAATTATAGTTATAATATCTGTGCTCTGAGTTTGTTTAGCTAAATTTAAAAGCTGCCCTTTGGGAGTTGTCTTTTGAGAGGTACTACCTGAGCAATACTGTCTTTAAGTAATTAAAGTAAAGTTGTTAATGATAATTATAATTAACACCAGAGTTTATTGATCCACACCCATTTTGATGATCTAATCTATTTTTCTATCAGAAATATATAAGCAGCTTTAAGTGGATGGTAGAAACATACCTATCATTGGCCTGTATGTATATCTTAATTTTTTTCTTGCACTTTGGGCTAGATAATCAATAGCCAGAATTGAGATGATTGTTTTCATGAGATCACGACTATTTAGATTTTATCTTTAACTCTTCTTTTTATATGGTGTAGGCTGGGACTAGAACAATTGAAATTGAACTTACTACTCTATCTAGCACTCATCATGTGGAGTTAAACCCAAGTGATGCTGGGTTTCAAGATAGATATATTGTTCAAGAGATTATTAAGGAGATGGCTAGAAATAGACCTATTGATACTAAAGGAAAGCGTGGATTCAAAGGTTAGAAGCTTTCTTACTGTTCTCTCTCTTGATTTTATGCCCAGATGCATGTTTCCACCATTCACTTATAGCTGCCTTATATATTCTGATAGAAAAAGAGGTATTTTGTGCTACTATGCCCGGCAAAGAGAAGGACAATATTATAGTATGGAATGTTTCTCTGTTTTTGAGTGAGTGACCATAGGTCCGTGGTGTTTTTTTTTTTTTTTTTTTTTTTTTTTTTTTTGGCTGTAATATTCCTACTGGCCACTTTACCTATTTACTATTGAAGTTTCATAAATAAAGGATTCACTTATAAATTTATTTGGCAATTGATTTCATAACTTAATTTTTAGTAACAAATTCTTCCTCCGTTTTCTTTTACTTGCAACACTTCCCTAAAAAGGAAATTTCACCATACTTTCCACACACTATAAAAAGAAAGTTACTTTAGGGAAAAACACACTATAAAGCACATGACTCACTAAATTACATTATTTCCCTTATTTAAAGCACATGGCCCACTAAATTATACTCCTAACAACCACTCATCCTATTTTAAAGTTTATTATATCATGTAAACCCCACCTTTCTCAATTACCGTGCTAAAGGGTGTGTTGCATCTAGAGAAAAACGGAGGAAGTATTAACTTTATTGTGTCTTAGGAGGTAGTATAAATATTTAAGTATGTAAATTATTTTTCTAAAAATTAAAAATTTTCTGTATCCTATGTACTCCTATTATAATTTCAACTATTACAGCTCTTCTGGCTTCATGGTTTCATTTAAAAGCTCATTATTTATAAAGGTTGGCTAAATATAATGTAAAGTAACGGTAAGGAGTGAGATATTGATAGAGATGAATTACAAGGGAGGGAGGAGAAGGAAAGGATGACCGGGCTATTGTTGCCTAATTGCTCTTCATCCTTGGCAAAGCTTTTTCTAGAACTTGAAAATTTGGATATAGTGCTCAAGTTCATATGTACTTTTTACTTGTTGATAATTAAATATACGAATGATAAAAATAATGCATTGACAAACGTAAAATGAGGTGTGTTGCAAGTAAAAAAGAAATGGAGGTTGGCAGATGGATTTGGGAATATAGTAATCTAAGGTTAGAGGTTTGCCATCACCCTACTTTAGGATTATGAGAAGAAGCTATAAAGCAAATTTCAATGCGAGTAGTTTGATGCAAAGTATGATGTGGGGTAATATTAGTTAACATGTAGGGATTGGAACTTGGTATTGTAAAAAAAATAAATACACTATAAATATGTAGTATAGATAGGTCTAAGGGCCTCAGCTTAATTTCAGTTCAGCTCCAACCAGTTTAGTTTAGCTCTTAATTTTCTTCTCTCGTAAAATATTCATTTCAGCTTTATTCAGTTTAGCTCAGTTCAGTAACTCTGAACATGCCCTAAATGATGTGAAAGGTAGACTCATCAAAATGTAATAAAACATTGCGACACATAGTGTTGCATGTGTGAATTCATTATAGATCAGGGGTAACTACAAGTGGTTCATTAATATCTCATTTTATCCTTTGCAAAATTTTGATTTCCTCTTTGGGAAATGGTTTAAAATATATTTAGGCTTTTAGTTGATATATGGATACTTCCTAAAACCATTACATACTATACCCTTGAATTCTATCCTCTTCCTCAACACAAAAATGAGGAAATTTGTTCATTGCTTTTGTTTCATCGGTTAGCATTCTGATTGTCTTTGTAAGTTTGCACTCTAGTCTTGTTTGATATCGTCACAGACTCGCAGAAGTAGTATGTCTTCATTGGTTATGAAAGCAAAACAAAGACGAATTAGCACCTTAATATGGATCCTCCTTGAAGTTTTTTTGGATTTTAGACCGCTTCCTGATTTTGTAACACATTTTCTTAAATTGTAGTGTTGGTACTTAATGAAGTTGATAAACTTTCAAAAGAAGCCCAGCACTCTTTACGAAGAACTATGGAGAAGTATAGTTCATCATGTCGGCTTATTCTGTGCTGCAACAGCTCTTCAAAAGTTACTGAAGCAGTTCGATCTCGTTGTCTCAATGTGCGAATTAATGCTCCCATGAATGAAGAGGTAGCGTTTTGTTTTGCTTTATTTTATACTTCTTTATCCTTTTCCTTTTCCATCAGTGAACATTTGAAAAATTGAAAATAACTTTTGCCCAGCAAGGCAGCAACAATAACTGTTTACTTCAAATATATAACCAGGTTACTACCTAGAATACTTGTGTTTGTGTGTGTTTGGAGAGAGAGAGAGAGAAGGGGGGGGGGTGCTTTTACTGTTTTGATATTTATCGTCGTGTTGCTGTCCCTTCATGATACGTCGTAACTAATAATTTTCATTTTACTCTCAGGTTTATTGCAAGTGATTATTTACTGTTTTACAGAGTACATAATATAATCAAACGAAAATTTTCAAATGTTCATATGTGAAATATTGCATGTGATTTAACACCTAAGAATTTGGATATATATCTGTGTAGATTGTCAAGGTACTGGAATTTATTGGGAAGAAAGAAAGCCTGGAGCTCCCGCCTGGATTTGCTGCTCGAGTGGCTGCAAAATCCAATCGCAGTCTAAGAAGAGCAATACTACTGTTTGAGGCTTGCCGTGTCAAACAGTTAAGTACTGATATACTTGTGGTATAATGTTGCAAATTACATTGGTAAATATATCAGTTCTCTATCATATAATTTTGTTTCACCTATTAATTACCTTTAATATTTTCATAGGTATCCCTTTACAAATAGCCAGGCGATTCCCCCTATGGACTGGGAGGAATACGTCTCTGAGATAGCATCTGATATCATGAAGGAGCAGAGCCCTAAAAGGTTATTAACTGCAAATTCTTTCAAGTGTTTTAGTGTTGTTGAGATTACATATGAGCAGAGTCTTTGGTTCCTTAAAAAAATTATGTGCCAAATTGTGTGACCTTCTTGAGTTGGGCTTCATAATATTGTAAACTTTGAAGGATAGGAGTTTGGTGTAAAATGCAATGTAATAACATATTATGTTGCATGAATTATAATTCTATAAATTTCTCTTTTTCAGTCTCTTCCAGGTTCGAGGGAAGTTCTATGAGCTACTAGTTAATTGTATACCCCCAGAAATTATACTAAAGGTAGGTGGTGGCTGAGAATTTATCACTGTTATCACCCTTCCACTCCTTGACCACGACTTATATTTTTCCCTTTTAATAAATTTCAGAGGCTTCTTTCTGAGTTATTGAAGAAACTAGATGCAGAACTGAAGCATGAAGTTTGCCATTGGGCTGCCTATTATGTAAGTCTCTTAAGGTTTCCTATGCTGATTTGTGTCTTTTCCTTTAATTGTGTGCTATAGCTATTTTTCTGTTGTTTCAATTAATTTTGGAAAGACATCTGGAGAGAAGAGAGTAGCATCTATTTTTTTTTGTTTGTTTCCCTCAACTGTATACATAGACCACTTTACATGGCACTCCTACTATGGCATTCTAAACTAGCAATGTTTAGAATCTTCACTTGCAGAGTCATTCCCATGATAGGGAAATAAGGTAGCTCACCTCCTCCTCCTCCTCCTCCTTTTCCTTGATGAAATTTAGATTGTAACACAAGTTGTGGATTGCTAGATGTCTAATGATCAATGAGGGTAAAGTAGGTTGAGGTTCTATCTATATGCCAGATGTAGGATTGGTAGTGATCAAAATCAGGTGTGCTCAGTGGAAATAATGTCTACTGTGAACAGTGTACAGTCTCACAAAGGTCAAATTTTGGCATCTCTAGGGGATCAGCTTTGACCGTGTGTCTCTTGGCAGGAATGATGCTGATAGTTGCTCACAAAATCTTTGTAGAACCTGGATCTGAGTTGAAGTCAAGACCTGTATCCTTAGGTTACTCCAGGAAATATAATTTCAATGGAGAATTAGAATTTATAAAGTCTAGTTAATCAGGGGAATAATTTTGAGAAGGGTTTTCTAGATTGGTGCTGTTTAGGTTTTTCTTTGTTTGGTGTCTAATGTGAGTCTGTGAGGAGACTGAGAGCATCTTGTCCTCTTGCTATATTCCTTCAGTCATTCCTGATAATATTTTATCTTATCTGAAGTAAAACAAGCATAGATGAAATGGCCATACATGCTGCTAAAATCCAAAAGCCATAAATCAGCATGAAACAAAATTTTTACTGAGGAAGCGCATTCTCTGGTTCCTAATGAATATTTTATTCATGCAACCTAATGTTACATGTGTGTCGGGTATATTGCTGACTTCCTTTCCAATTCTTATGCTTATGTTGAACTCTCGTTTGATGATGTTGCACATTGTTGAGGTGGCATTTGGATTGTGTATTTGGAATGTATGTGCTGTATCTTTATAAAGCTGATGGAACCTGAATCATGTGTATTGAAATTTTATTCCCGAAGTAGATAAACTTTTTGATGGGAAGTCGTGCTGTATCAGATTACATTGTAGCATTGGCTGGTATCTCATTGATTAAATGTGTATAGTGATTTGATCTCTCAAAAGCCAAGAAGTTCGCATTTTATCTCTAATGACTGCAATTTTTTTTTTCTTCTATGATTTATCCTGTTTCTGTATTCTTCTCCACTTTTGACAAGAACCTAGGTTTGTAGTCCACATACCTTGAAATGTTACTAGAGCTATTGTATGTAACGATGTAAGCTTCCCTACTTGCAAAGATTGGTGTTAAACTCTGAGTACTCTGGATGCTTTGAGGGTCAAAGTCTTTTTATGATTTAAAGTCTGCTCTAACCCTGTTTACTTTCAGCCATTAAAAGCCCTCACGTTATATCATCCAATAAACAAAAACCTAAAAAGAACAATGACAGCCATTGATATTTCATATGTGGCAATATTTCTTTGAGAGTCCGTCTTCCTTTTGTAATATTTCTGAGGTAAGCTTTTCATTTTCTACAGGAACATCGGATGCGTCTTGGGCAGAAAGCCATATTCCATCTCGAAGGTATGATGTGTAAATAGAACTATCATATTTGATCCTATTTCCTACGTATAATTTTTGATATCTCCTCTTACTTTATTGCATGTGCCAACTATGTTGCAATTAAGTACTCCCTCCATTTTTTTTATAAGCTAGAGTTACTATTTACGTCCGTTTTATTTTTAAAGCTAGAGTTTCATTTTTGGAAATATATTACAATTTAATAATATATCTTTACCCACTCTTTTTTACTTTATCATTTCTCACTCCTCCAATGGTCCCCAATCCCTCTCACACTACTTTACTTTTCAATAAAATAATAATCTTATCTATCCCACTAACATCTTATTTTATCAAACCACCTAACACTCTACGTTATCTCATCTCTAGCCTATAAAAAAAAAAACGGAGGGAGTAATAGTTTATACTGTGCTATTTACCTGAATTTCATGTATTTATATTAATCTGAACTTAATTACTCCTTCCCCCATCTTATCTTTTCTTCTTTATTTTTTTGGGTATATTATTAGATCTTGTATGAACTTATTAGCCTTTATTTATTTGATCTAAACGTATTAGCCGTTGTCGAATCTTATTTGAACTTGTTAGACCTTAAATGAATGAAAATAAGGTAAGAACATAACCTAACTCTTCAAGTCTTTGTTATGCATGCATTTAACAGTTTACAGTAAGGATAAATTTTGAATTCTGTAATTTAACAAGAGTAAGAATAGTCTGAACACTTTTGCCATTTTCATCTGTTTGGTTTTTATGGTATGATCCTACCAATTATCTATTATATCATACATTTCTTGTAGAACTACTACTTTTTTCACACCAACTCTTCATTAACTTACCCGTACGAACACCCCACTAACTCCCATTACATCTGCTTTTCTATAGACTTCTAATCTAATTATTATAACAATAGATAACCCTTCTGCAACTTATTTACTTAAATCCTAAATTACAGGGAGTGATGGAGTAATATATGTTCGAACCGATTTGGGATGGAGGGAATAACTTTTAGGGGATGTTTGGTTTGTATGTCAAGTAGAGGCATGTTATTTAAACATATAAGACCTAAAGGGTTTGCAGAAGAAATTGTATTTGTTACATTTTACCAGTAAATTAACCGAACTATTAGTTTTTAACGTGTGCAAATTACAATCAACTAAATGATTTTGTTAGTTTACTGTTACTATTTTCTGTTAACTATTAACTGTTAAAAATTAACTTATTTTTTAGTCTACCACAGTTGAATCCCTCCCCTCCCTCCCTGCTTATGCTCACTTCTCTGCCATAGCCTGGAGGAAGAAAGGGGTTTCGACTTTATCAATTTTTTCTCTTCTCCCTCAGATCTAATTATTTCAGCAACTGTATCTTGGTTTTGTTATTTTAGAGAAAAATAAGCTTAAGTGATATTGGATTCCATCATTTCAATGTTAGAGTTTTTCTTTTTCTTGTTTTTTTTTTTTTTTTTTGTTTTGTTTTTTGTTTTTTTTTTTTTTTTTTTGTTTTTTCTTTTTTCCTCTCTTTTCTTTGGGATATTTTATATGTTGGGTTGAAGTATCCAGTCTGTTTTTGTTTTAATTGATGATATAAAGTTGCAAATTTGGGATTTAGTGAGGGAAATCATGACAAATTGGGGATTGTAATGAATTACCCTGTCTGTAGTTTTGAACAAACTAGAGTAAAAAAAATAGAAGTGATAGTTATTAAAGGGTGGTTATTGTTTATTTATTTATTTTTTTTTTATTATTTTTTATTTTTAAATAGAGGGCTAGATTTTAATTGAGTGATATGGGTAGTTATGAGTAACAATGGTGGTTATTGGTTTTTTTTTTTATCAAAAAAAAAAAAAAATCAAAAAATAGGAGGGCTAGATTTGCAAGGATGAGAATTTGGAGTGCTGTGAATGAAAGTTGGAAAAAAAAAACTCTTAAATTATATATTAGATTTTTTTTTTTATTGAAGAAAGTAACCTGGATTGTAATGTTGCTATCAGTTTGTAATTAGAACTTGGATTGTAATGTGTAATAATTTGTCAGCACTTTGATCTTGTTTTAAGAAATATTTAGAAGGTTATGATAGCGGTTTACTGCTTCTGAACAGTACGGTTGTCTGTCAGTGAACACCCCTTGGTGGATCTTGGCTGGATGTAAGTGTACTCCCTTCCTGTTTCTGATTACACATTCCAGCAATTATAAGCTAACTTTATTAAAAAAAAAAAAAAAAAGAAAGAAAAACACTATTGTTTCAATTTCAAGTGCTCTGCTGCCTCCTCCCTAATTACCAATATACGAGCACTCAACCTCCTTGATGGACATATAAATATATGATCCTCTGCCTAGCTTCGAGACTGAACCACCGTCACCTTCCATGGAAGCTTCAGCCCCCTATGAATCTCATTATCGTCATGCTTCTATTACATCCTCCACTCACCAAATTCCCCAAATAGACACCCGCACAGGCACTTAGCAGACATAGGATTTTACTCAATGGTCAACTTAATTGCCAAGGTTCTGTAGATCTGGTGCCTCTGGCAAATTGATGCTCTGTACGCTTTAAAAAGGACTGAGGAGGAAAGTGGATAATGTTAGGACTAAGGAGATGGCTGGAGGTTGATATAGAGATGGTTGTTGTGATCTGAGATGGAGTAGTTGACGTGGAGGAGAGGAGGTGAAAGGGTGACTGAGATGTTGAGGACCTGGAAGACAATGCTCCATATGGATACAGAAGACTGAGTTGAAGGAGAGGAGTGGGGAAGGGAATTACTGAGACTGAACGGGGTGTGTAGATAGATTTAAACAAAGGCTGTTCTGTCACGTGATTTCCACTTTGTTAAGAATTTTTACTTATTGTGTGAATATCTGCTCCACAAATGTATTTTAAACTGACATATCTGTTGCTGCTGTTGTGTTTCATGAACTATCGAATCGTCATGAAAGAAAAAGTAGACTCATGCTATAAGATAGATAACACAAATGCTTAGAATCTCAAATTTCTTTTAGAGTTATAAAATGGTGAAAAATATACTTTCTGGCATAATTTCAAAAAGACATAGTACTTCGTATTAAAATGAAGTGGAGATTGTCTGAAATGTTTTTGCACAATGCGATGGGCCTGAATTGTGATGCCTAATTTTAAAGATGCCTTTTCTGCAGCACTGTGACTGTCATTTGTGAGTTTGTGACTGCAAGGTTTGCAAATTTGGCATTTTTTTCTTCTTACGATTGCCCCAAACTGAACCAATCAATGATACAAGGTATCATGTCTGGGTATGAATGATTGCATACCTGAAAATGTCAATTTTATACTCATTCCTGACACCAGATGCGAACCAAACAAGGTTTTGCTATAAACTTTCATGGAAGTCATGTATGTTATAAGAACTTATGTGACAAGGCTTGAAATCTTCTCAATAAATAAGATTCATTACAGTGAATCTGAATGTGAAAGTTATGTTGTGCATATACAACTTGATATTTTGTAATTGCAGTCTCTAACTGATATTTCCCTTGAAAAATGCGTAGCGTTTGTAGCCAAGTTTATGAGCATTTACAAGGGTTTCCTTATTGCAACTTTTGGCTGATGCTTGAGCTGGTTTTCTTTTTTGACGAGAAGCTTGAGCTGGTTTTCTGGTTTATCTTGGATGCCCCTCCCGTTGAACTAAAATTGCCCTCTCTTAGTTGCCAACTTGCAAATTACCTTTCATGATCACTGTCACCTTTTCTTTTTCTTTCTTCCGTTCAGTTTACTAGGCACCTCTGTTGAAAAAGGCAATAGAACTAGTGTGCTGCCAAATGCAACAAACTGCGATTGCTAAAGTTTTTCGGCGTTGTAGCTTGTGTTTTTGGCTTTTTTTGTGGTTAAAGAGGGTGAATTTTCAGGTGTATATTTGTAGCATGTATTGACAATTGTTCTGTAGATGGATGAAATGAAACATAAAAGATTGGGAGCCTTTTGCAAATTTTCATCTATTTGCTTAACACATGGAAAGTTTGCCAATTCTAATGTATCATTGATTTTGAGTTGATATAGTAATTTGGCAATTAATATTAGGTATTCCTGGAGTACCTAGTATTGTACTCCAGGCCCAATCTAATAAGTAGCTGGAAACCCAACTTTAAAAAAAGGAAAAATGGAAATTAAAAATCCAACCTTTGCACTTTTTCCTCCTAAAAATCCAACTTTTATTTTATTCCTCAAAAATCCAACCTTTATACCTTCCATCTAAAAGTCCATTACCTGTTGATGATCGGTTTTTATAAGTTAGATGCCATGTGTCATCTATTAATAGGTTAATTATTTTTTTAATTATTAAAAAACAAAAATAATTAAAAAATAAAAAATATCAGATTTTTCGGCCACCATTCCTCACCACCTCCCTTTCCGACCATCCTCCCCTTACCCTCCCTTTCTAGCCACAACCCAGCTCGCACCACCACCCAACTCTGTTTCCACCCTCCATTTCAGCAGTCCCGCAAACCGCAACCACCGACTCCAAACCGCCCAGCCACCAACTCCAAATTAAACCACTATTGTTCCTTGCTCAGCCCAAATAATCGCACACACAACATAGCCCACAATACCATACAACCACCATCACCACCATCCACCTTAAACCTTCAGCTGCAGCTTAATTAGTCAAAGCCAAGGATCGTTTTGATATCAATAATATCCAATTGAAATTCAGCTAAATTAGTCATTAATAGCACAAAACAAGCCTAATTGAACAAAACCCACAAATTTAACAATCAAATTGATAAAAAAAACAGAACTTTTTTGAAAGATTCAGGGGAGGGTTCTAAGGCATGTGAAAGGAGAAAAGCAAGACGATGACGAGAAGTGGGTTCACGAATGTCACTGATAACTAGAGGTGGAGGGGCTGGTCGGCGTGGAGGGGCTGGTCGGTGATGTTCCGGCGGTGCACTGGTGGACGTGGTGGTTTTGGTGGCGTAGTGGTGGTAATGGGTTGTTTCTGTTTTTGAGGATAGAGGAGAGAGGAAGAGGATGAGTGAGAGATGTAATTGAGAGAATTAAAAAAAAAAATCTTTTTAACCTCTTTAACGGGTTAAAGGTAAAATGGATCTATTAGAGAATGAGGGGTATAAAGGTTGGATTTTTAAGGAATAAAATCAAGGTTGGATTTTTAGGAGAAAAAAGTGCAAAAGTTGGATTTTTCTTTTCCATTTTTCCTAAAAATAAAATAAAAATAAAAGCGCACGTATAATTTGTGAAATAACAAGTTAACAAAACGAAATAATATAAAAATATAAAATAGAAGCATATTATTCAAGTTACTTAACATGATATTTATTGTTATTGAACATATTATTTTAGAACTGATAAATATTTTTGATTACATTATTTTAGAATTAATAAATGTTATTTTATAAAAAGAAGGATGTTATTTTTATAACTTGGAATATTATTCCAATTCTTATAAAACATTATGTTATTTTATAAAAAGAAACATGTTATTTATATAACTTGCAAATTAACTGTTAAAACACATGTAATTTTTAATTGACGTTTTGTTATTTAGATTACACTATATGTTACTTTTTACAAAGAATCATCAAATTTGCAATTGCGCAAAATCGAGCCGCCCACCCTAGCAAGCTGGTTGCCACCGTCGTCACCGGGGAGCTTTAGCAAGGGTTCTGCTTAGCTTGCCCCGAAGCCTTACTCAACAAGGATCGTACAACTTGTCAAGGTTTGGGATGAAGCCAAGCTGATACAAATCGAACATCATCGGCGTAGATACACAGTAAATTTCGCAAAATCATCTTCAATTTAGGAGTATAATTGATGAAAAGAGGAAAAAGAGTGATTGATTGGATTGAGAGAAAAATCTGAACAAAAAATTTGCAATTGGAAAAAAGAGGATAAAAATCATTACAATTGAAAGAAAATAAAGGGAAACAAAGCATATCAAGAAGAAAAGGGAGCAAATCAGGAAGAAGGAGGGGACACTAGAAGAAGAGCTGAAAGCGTCGTCGTTTTGTACCCGGAGTACCTTGCTCACGGTATTCCGGGAGTAAGGAAGAAATTATAAACTTGGATAATGTTAATATTAGAGGTGTATTAATAAACTGGGTTGTTGATTATGATTTATCATGTTGGATAATGTCAAAGACAACATACAGAGGAGAAAAAAGGAGCTGGAGGGATGGTTAGTCCCTCCATCCCCCCATCCCCACTAGTGATGGGGTTTCGATTCCTCATCTAGCCCGCTAAAAAAAAGGCAACATACAAAGTATCATAAGTTGATTCCTGTAATTGTTCTTTGTGATGATGATGAAATTTATTAAGCTATTAGAATCACTATGTTTAAATGTTGCTATTTAAAAATAAAGGTCATTATATTAATATAAAGGTTACAATATTAAAATAAAGGTTTATTTTTTCAAAAATAAAAAATAAAAAAAATAAAAGTTTGAGCAATTGTCAATGTACGAGTGTTTTAACATTGGATCTGTGCGGCACACTCTCGTATATTGATGACAAGGATTCTTGCCAAGTGCTAAAAGGAGCTTGCTAGTAAAAGCACACTAGCGAGTAATGAGAGGGGGGGAGGGGACTCTTGCCTATTAGACTATTAGTGACGAGTGGAAAAGAGGGTCAGTTGGGGCTTATGATGGCCGATCAAGTTTTAGCGCGCACAATCAAGTCTGAAGTTTTGGACTTTGGAGGGTCCTTGGTTTAGTGGGTGTGCTTTAAAACTAGAATGACACAATCCTATAACAACACATAAGTTTTACATCAATAAACAATTAGGTTGAGAGTATATATGTTAAAATAAGTCATTATGTAACACAGATTGATAACTAAGAGATTAATATTTTATAATGAGAGTTATATTATTCTAGACTATATTTTGTGAATAATGAAAATACTAAAATTAGAGTCACTTTATTACATGTAATATCGATTGGCATACCTTGGGTTCTCAATAAATTATTGTGAATCGGGTCCACATAAGTTTAATAGGATCCCCACTTGTAGTTGTCTATAGATAGTCTTGAAAATTCTAAGGTGATCAAGTAGTTTTTGGATACCATAGAATATCCTATGTGATACTCTCATGGCCACAAAAAAAATTGTCCCTCTTTCGTTTATTTTTTTTACAAACGTTTAACTTTTTCTAAATTGTTAAAAATGTTTTAAACATTAATATCTATGTAACTATGTTACATTGATATCGGTACGGGTATTCGATATTTGTACGGATCCGAGTGTCCGGTACATCATTAAAAAATATAGAACACAGAGACACCGTCTTAACTTTGGACTCGAATACAAATACAACAATAATTTCCTTAAGGAAAAAAAAACGGAAAATTAGTAGTTTGGGAATCTTGAAAAAGCTTGTTTGGGAAGCCAAACCAAATTAATAATTAAAATAAAAATGAGTAGTTTGTACCTCTTTTTTAGGAAACCACAAAGTTCACAATGTGTGAGGAACAATTTGTAGAGGGGTTAAAGAAATTGTGGTGGGTCAGGTCAAGAGGTCAAATTTAAAGTTACAAACTTGTTGAGCAATTAGGTTTTGATGATTATAAACTAATGATGATTATCTATCTAACGTGTATGTTAAGTTGTGCATAGAAAGAGCAAGTTATGCTTGGAACAGGATACAAGGAACCTGAGTAATGACAGGTATATATGTAAGGAACTTGAGCAATATAGGATAAGCAATAGAGGAACAAGAACAACGATAAGTGTTATGGTTGATAAGCATGATGATGGCTAAGGGACCATGAAGGTAACTATGTAAACATGTGTTTACATATGTTAGCTTCATAAGGTAAGTATCCTATACATATATAGGTTATGTATGTGTAGGAGTCTTTTAATTTAGTTTAGTTTTCTTTATTGTTTTTATAAATAAAAAACTAACCTTCTGTTTTACTTTGTTATTCTCAGAAGTTTGCTCAGTTCGTCATCATCAAAAAGGGACAACTTGTTGACCCTTATGAGGTTTTGATGATGATGTTAAGAATTGAGCAAACTTCCATTTAATAAGGATTTTCTAGTGTTGTGATGTTTGCAGGTTCAGTAAGCGTTGAGGGTTGAAGTAGGAATTGAAACAGAGGAACTTTAAAGGATCCATGAGGATACAAGTAAATTTAGAAGAAGAGTTCCAGAAATGGAACTTCCAGAAGTTTCTTAACAGGAACTTCAAAACGGGGTGTAACGACCTGGTTTCGGTGTAATGTTGGGGCAAACCCTAAGATCCAGAATATATCAAGACTACAGGATTCCAGAACAAGAGTTTCAGAGAAGCAACATGAAGACAGAGAAATAGAAGTATATTGCTCTAGGATTCATGTAAGTATGTTGGACATAAAAGTCGGTCTGGAACAAGTCTATATAGAACCAAGGTGAACTCCAAACAGTCAATGAAATTAGAGTAACTGACTTGTCAGGAACTCAGAGACTGTCAGAGTTCAGGAACCTAATTGGAACTTAAGTATGCACGTCGTTAAAAGTCGGTTTTAATGATATATATATATTTACCTTATGCGTGCATATCTTTTAGGGATTTGGTTTTACTGAATAAAGATATTTATCTTCTAATAAATCCCTTTTGGAAAAAGATAAGATCGTTTAAAAAGTTTTTTAAACAAAAAGATAAGTTTTGAATAAAATCTGATTTTATGCTAAGTTTATCTTATTATTATTGACAGTTTTTATTCTTAACAAAAAGATATATTTTCGGAAAACTGATTTTTAGAAAATATCTTTTAAACTTATCTTTTCAGAAAATCTATTTTTTTCAAGATGAAATGAATAATTCGAGTGTACTATAAATATTCTCATATGCATTCATTCAAAGTTGAGGCTGACGAAGTGTAGTGGTCGTGCTTAATGGTTTTATCCTTCACCACGAAGCTAAGTCAGTCCTCCTGGTCAAAGTTCCTATCAGGTTTTTGGTTACAGTACGTCGAGTGAGTTCCAGATAGATCTTGACTGTTCAACATATTAGTTTTATCTCTCTATTCATAGATATGTATTTAGGGATATTCA